GAGCACACACTCCCTATAGCAAAACCTCTCAAAAGAAAAAAATAATAGAGAGAGAATAAGTGCTAGAGAGGTTATGTTGAGAAGGGAAACCTCTTACACTGTTAGTGGGAATGTAAATTAGTATACCCACTATGGAAAACAATAGGGAGGTTCCTCAAAAACCTTCAAATAAAACTATCATGTGAGCCAGTCATTCCATTCTTAGGTATCTACCAATAGGATGGGAAAACCCTCAGTTGGAAAAACACTTGCACAGGGACCAGCAATTGGCATAATGGCTGTGTCGCTGGACTCCCATGTAGTCAACCACGGTTCAAGTCCTGGACCCGGTGTTTTAAACACACTCCTGGCACATGTGCGTGTGTGCCCAAGACCCCAAGAAGAGAATGGAGGAGAAGGGATTGCGGTGTGGCCATCTCCCCTAGGGGGTGATTTCTCGCTTTCTGTCTCTCTGTCTCTCTCTGTCTCTCTGGCGAGCACATGTGCCCTATTGCAAAAACCTCTCAAAAAAAGGGAAAAACACTTGTATATCCATGTTCATTACACCATTATTTATAACTGCTAGAACATGGAATCAACACAAATGTTCAAGAATAGATGAGTGGATTGACAAATGTGGCACATATAACCTATGGAATACTACCCACTCCTAAAAAGTAATGTGATCCTGACATTTGATACAAAGTTGACAAATATGGAAGATTCAATACTACATGAAGAAAGCCAGGGACCAGCAGTTAGTGTAATGGCTATGTCACTGGACTCCCATGTAGTCGACCGTGGTTCAAGTCCTGGACCCGGTGGCTTAAACTCACACCAGGTGCATGTGCGTGCATGCCCAAGATCCTGAGAAGAGAATGGAGAAGGGATTGCAGCGTGACCATCCCCCCTGGGGGGTGATTTCTTGCTTTCTGTCTCTCTCTTTCTCTCTGTCTGTCTGGCGAGCACACGTGCCCAATACCAAAAACCGTTCCAAAAAAAAGAAAGAAAGAAAGAAAATAAAGCCAAACTATAAAAAACAGGCATTATATGTCCTCACTTAATATATACCAAATATCTGCACTGTACAACAAATACTGAAATATTAGAAAGTATAACAGGAGAGAAAGCAACTGTAGCACAAAAGTGAAAAGTTATTTGTTTATGATAATGTATATTGCAATGTCTTTGTCTTCACTAAGATGTACTGTATTAATGCTGAGAAAAACCATGCTGTACATTGTAAAGATGTACAGTATAAATGTAAATTTAAAAATATATAAATAAAAAGAAACAAAATAAAAATATAAGATAAAAATATAAAAACAGGAATCCTTTAACACAAAGAAGCAGTATTAAATGCATGTATTCTAAAGAATGGATGTATTCTAAATTTTCTAATAAGGCATACCTACAAAAACCTTAAGTTTTACAAATTACTAAAGAGTTAAATACCAAAGAACTTCTTTCAGGTCACTTGTTCAATGCACTTTACAAGACAATGTATGCTGATGATATGACAAAAAGAAAAAAGGTTCTTTCTGAAATTGGCAATATTCTGTTCTTTACTGCTGAATAAAAGGAAGTACAGTGTAAAATAGATCTGGAGAGTAGAAATATCTTACCAGAAAAGTAGCTCTCTCAAACAGAAGTACTTCATCAGCCTCAATAATTTCAGCAAAATTCCTTAGGTTCATTTCCAGTTGCTGAACATTTGGAATTAGCTGATAAACAATGCTGGACCAAGCCTAACAAAAGAGAAGTACAGTGTAATATTACAAACAGTTCCTGAAAGGAGTTAGTATAGTACAACATATGGACAGCAAAATATAATGATAATTGAATCCCAAACAAATAGTCACATTAAAAATAACATACAAATGGTAAAATGAAGCTAATATTTAATTTTTATCCTTGAGTTGAACTGTTTTTTAAGTTCAAACACTTTTCTAAAATGCTGGAGAAACTTCTTATTGATAATTAAAAGTAAACAAGTAATTTAATGCCATCATGCTGCCTTAGGAAAAAAGTTGGAAAACATAACCTACTATGCTATAAAAGTTTCTAATACAGTCTTTCAAGGCTGTACTTCTCATACTGGTATTTAAGGTTAACAACAAAGATGGCTCTTAAGATCAGAACCCAATAACACTATACTTAACATATACCCAAGAATCAATTTTGTGGAAATATCAGAGAGCCATATGGGCAAATGGCCCCTCCCCTTACTAGGACAACACACCATTAGAACATAAAGTAGTAGCAACATCATTCCCAAAGTGTGTTGTCAGCTGTATAAATTATTGTTCCAACCACATTAGAAAATAGTTCGTCATAGGTTTGTCGAAAAACTGACTTCATCCAGAGGAGTATGATTAATGTATGCAGTTGAAATTAACCACACTCTTCCTCTACTCTCTTAAGACTCTTTTATTTGTATCTCTATTATAATACTTTCTTCACTCACTCCTGGTTATGTGTACTTTGCTATTTTTTCCCTTACTAGAGAGTAGGAAATGTGGTCTTAGTCATTTGTGTATTCAACAGCATCTAGCAAATACCCAATTGAGAGTCTGTTGAACAAAACTTAATATAAAAATGCAAATAATCTCTATGCAACATTGATATAAGAGATAGTAGTGCCATGTCTCTGTTTCAATGATTTTTATTACTTAGGTATGAGAGTTCAGGTTCCAAGTTTCCAGGTCAGTGTTAATGTCACTGCTGAATTTACCTTAGAGCAGGAATCAAAGCTAACCACAGCAGAGACATTTTCACTCATAGCAGTGTTGTGATTAGCCAATTGTCTTTGGTTGTGTTATGTACTGGCACCCTTCACACTGCAGTTGGTTCTTATCAGTGCATCATGTCCATCTTTATTCACAGTTACCTGTTCTATGAGAATAAGGCTTTGAAAGAAATTCGGCCTATATTAATCCAGAACAGTATTTCCTATACAGGCATTACAAAATGATCTGCTATCAGAGTGAGGCTGGGTCAAGATAACATTAGGGGGAAAAATGAATTAGTTAAAAAAAAATAGGTTAACAACAAAGATGGCTCTTAAGATCAGAACCCAATAACACTATACTTAACATATACCCAAGAATCAATTTTGTGGAAATATCAGAGAGCCATATGGGCAAATGGCCCCTCCCCTTACTAGGACAACACACCATTAGAACATAAAGTAGTAGCAACATCATTCCCAAAGTGTGTTGTCAGCTGTATAAATTATTGTTCCAACCACATTAGAAAATAGTTCGTCATAGGTTTGTCGAAAAACTGACTTCATCCAGAGGAGTATGATTAATGTATGCAGTTGAAATTAACCACACTCTTCCTCTACTCTCTTAAGACTCTTTTATTTGTATCTCTATTATAATACTTTCTTCACTCACTCCTGGTTATGTGTACTTTGTTATTTTTTCCCTTACTAGAGAGTAGGAAATGTGGTCTTAGTCATTTGTGTATTCAACAGCATCTAGCAAATACCCAATTGAGAGTCTGTTGAACAAAACTTAATATAAAAATGCAAATAATCTCTATGCAACATTGATATAAGAGATAGTAGTGCCATGTCTCTGTTTCAATGATTTTTATTACTTAGGTATGAGAGTTCAGGTTCCAAGTTTCCAGGTCAGTGTTAATGTCACTGCTGAATTTACCTTAGAGCAGGAATCAAAGCTAACCACAGCAGAGACATTTTCACTCATAGCAGTGTTGTGATTAGCCAATTGTCTTTGGTTGTGTTATGTACTGGCACCCTTCACACTGCAGTTGGTTCTTATCAGTGCATCATGTCCATCTTTATTCACAGTTACCTGTTCTATGAGAATAAGGCTTTGAAAGAAATTCGGCCTATATTAATCCAGAACAGTATTTCCTATACAGGCATTACAAAATGATCTGCTATCAGAGTGAGGCTGGGTCAAGATAACATTAGGGGGAAAAATGAATTAGTTAAAAAAAAATAGCTATGTTTAAAATCCATTGGTTTTCTCCTTGGCAAGTCAAATTTCTGTGTTTCTGGTCATAGATGCTTGTCAGAAGCAATCAATATTGAGGGTCTAGCTACTAGTGACAAAGAAGGATGCTTTCCATTCAGAGTCAGATTTGTCACAGAAGCATTCTGAAGGAAAGGCCTGACCACAGGAGGACCCAAAAGGAGCCAGTCTTTCAAATCATTAGATCAGTAAGAGAAAGAGACGCAGCAAAATAAAAAAAACTATATGCCAATAAGATAGTTTCAGTTTAATCCATAACACAACTATTATTGTGACCTCTACAATTACTATAAGCATTATGGTATCTATTGCAGCAAGGGAATAATTCTTCTAGTTGAAATAATGCAGGTCTCCAATGTAGAATGAAATAAAAGTTGAAGCCATCAAACTCCAGGTATAATATATCATTCTAAGATTCCCTTCTACAATCTCTCTCTTAAATATTTTTCTTCATTGCCATCCAAACTTAGGTATACTACTTTTTATCATGTAGAGGTACTTAAGTACTAGGACATAACTTTATGGATTACTGAGACCACAACAAGTCAAAAGGGATCATGGCCAGTGAGTGAAACCCTTGCTATCACAAAGATCAGTATCAAGTAAATCATGAACAATTAGTGAGATTTTGGTAGCTATATCAACCCAAGGTGAGGTCAAAACCAAACTCTCCTAATGTTAAGTTTGATATTCTTCAATCTATTGATTGTAGACTCTTTTGTTAGTATAACAAATATAAATGGCTATGAAATAGTTTAGACAAATAAAAGGTTTGGTTAATACCCTTCTAGTTTCTTTTCATGCTCTTCAAATGAGTTAATTCAGGGAAACATACACACCTTATAGAGAGTTTCATCCCAGATAGATGTTCGGAAACAAGAACATTCCAATGGGCGAGACAAACGTCTCAGATCTTCTTCTCGCTCTTTAAAAATCTAAATTTAAAAAAAAATCATATTAATTAGCATATAATGGCTCTCCTCATTTACTGCAAAATCTGGAATGTAATTATTTCAGCATATTTTAATCAGGATCTTTTGCTCCTCCTTCAGAGGAATTTTGAGTATGTACATTATTTCACAAACTAGGATGGCAGAAATTATTTCAGGTCAGTTCTAAAAGTGCAAGAACTACTAGAATTCTTCAAGCTTATGCTGCTTGTGATGAATACTCCCTAAAAGCACTACACTGGGCAAAAATTATTGTACAGAAGAGTCATAATAAAATACATTTTATTATTTCATTTGGAATCACCAAATCTGGTCATTTTAAGAAAGCTATACTTATATCTAGATTGTATAAATCAAGTTATTTTAACCTTTGTATATACCTTTCTCCTTACACATATAAAGACATTCATATATATTACATGCATATGTATTATATTTAGTTGGCTATATAGATATAATCCCCCCATGCTGGGTAAAGTCTCTTTACAATCTAAATGATGTATAGCAATTTAATCTATAAATCGCAATAAATAATAATAAAAATAATACTAAAAAACTATTTCTATTGGATATTTGTGTTCGTATTTATGTATGTACATATCCCAACATACCTGTGAAAAAAACTTTTATGTACACACCATGATGGTTACTTTTACGTGTCAACTTGGCTAGGCCACAGTTGACAGACAGGCTTTTATTTAACCTATCTGTTTCTGCAAAAGTATCTTTTAGATGAGATTAACATTTAATGGGCTATTATCCCTAGAGCCTTGCTGTGGATCAGGGGGCAGTGGCATTCAGTGAGGCCAACTAAAGTAGGAGACTACTTGGGGATTCCATTGCCTTCCAAGTAGTTATATCCCGACCAGCTCCTCCCAACCCCTTCACTACCATTACCACCAGAGCATGTGCTATGGATCACGGAGTAGTGAAGATTGAAGACAAAACCTTCGACTTAGATAAAAGCACCAAAAATAATGAAATAATAATAAATAAATGAGGACAACATATGGGAAATACTAGATACTATAAAACATCCAAATGTCTGAAATAATTATTCCAGAAGGTGAATAATCAGACAAGGGCACTGAAGATCTATGCTATGAAATACCTGCAGAAAACTTCCCAAACAAAAGAAGCATTCAGACATCCAGACTCAAGAAATACAAAGGACCCCAAACAGAAATAACACAAAAAGATCCTCTCCACTGCACATCATAGCCAGAATGGCAAAAATAATGAGACAAGATTCTAAAAATGGAAAGAGAAAAACATCAAATCACGTAACAAAGGTCACCCTATTAACTAAGACAAGACCTATAAACCAAAACAATGAAGGCAAGGTAAGAATGAAAAGACTATATTAAAAATACTAAAAGAAAAGCAATTTCAACCAAGAATACTATATCCAGCAAGATTATCCTTCAAAAGGAAAAAAAGAATAAAATAATTCTCAGATAAACAAAAATTGAAAGAATTCACCAATACGAGACCAGCTGTTCAAGAAGTACTGAAGGAAGTAATATATCAAAACTAAGGAGAGACAGAAATAAAGGAACAAAAGCAATCAAGAAAGTAACTAACAAAATGGCAGGAACAAATCCATAAATATCAGTAATAACCATGAATGTTAATGGATTAAATTCTCCAATCAAAAGACACAGACTGGATGAATGGACAAAAAAAATAGAAACCTATGTTCTGCTACAAGAAATGCACCTTGTGGATAAAGACAGACATAGACTTAAAGTGAAGGGCTAGAAAAAGATATTCCATGCAAATGGAAATTAAAGAAAGGCTAGATTCATGATACTGATATCAGTCAAAATAGGCTTTAAGACAAAAACTGTAAGAGAGAAAGAAGGACATTATATAGTACTAAAAGAGCAAATTCGCCATGGAGATATTACACTTAAAATTATCTATGCACACATCTTGGGAGCACCTAAATATGTGAAAGAAAGACTGCTAGATCTATACAGAGAGATAGACTACAACATACCAATCGTTGAGAAACTCAACAGCCCACTATCTCCTTTGCACAGATCATCTAGCCAAAAAAATAACCAAAGAAATATGGAATCTAAATGACACCATAAATGAAATGAACTTCACAAACATTATAAAACTTTCCACCAACAACCAGGAAACATATATTTTTCTTAACTCACATAGAATGTTTTTTTTGGGTAGGGGGGAGAGGATTTTGTGATAGGGCGCGTGTGCTTGCCAGACAGACTTAGAGAGACAGAGAGACAGAAAGCGAGAAATCACCCCCAGGGGGGATGGCCATGCCGCAATCCCTTCTCCTCCATTCTCCTCTCGGGATCTTGGACACCCACGCACACGTGCCCGGCGTGAGGATTAAGCCACTGGGTCCGGGACGCAAACCGCGGTCGACTACATGGGAGTCCAGTGACATAGCCATTATGCTAACTGCTGGTCCCATCCCACATAGAATGGTTTTGAAGACTGACCACATGATAGGGCACAAAACTAACCTTTACAAATTTAAAGAAATAGAAACAATATCTACCCTCTTCTCCAACCACAACGGAATTAAAACTGGAAATTAATTTCAAAAAATTCCTTGAAAATGCACAAACATATGGAAATTAAATAACCTATTTCTAAATGGCTTCACGACCAGTGAAATAATTAAGAGTGAAATACAAAGATTGACTGAAACCAATGATAATGAGGACACGAGTTTCCATAATCTATGGGACGCTACAAAAGCTGTCAAAACAGGGAAGTTTATACCAATTAGTGTGCATAAGAAAAAGATGTAAAGGTGGCAAATAACAACTGGATAACACACTTTGGAAAGCTGGAAAAATAACCAAAATGCCAGGAGAAAAGAAATAATAAAGGCTGATGCAGAAATAAGTGGAATACAGAATAAACAAACTATACAGAAAATAAATGAAACCAAAAGCTGGTTCTTTGGGAAGATAAATAAAATGATACACCATTAATTAGACTAATTAAGAAGAGAGAAAGGAATAAGATAAATCAGAGCAACAGGAAATATGATGACAGATATAAGAGAAATACAAAAGATCATTAGAGAATATTATAATACACAAAGAAAGAAGAAAACCTGGGTGAGATGGAGGACACATAAGCTACCAAGACTAAATCAGGTAGACAGAGAAAGCCTAAATAAACCAGTAACAAATGATGAAATTGAATTAGTGATAAATAATCTTCTAGGTCCCAATGGTTTCATTCCTGAATTCTACAACTTTTATTTTCAGCTATTTTTTTTGAGAGATTTTCACTGTAGGGCGCGTGCGCTCACCAGACAGACAGAGAGAGACATAGAGACAGAAAGCGAGAAATCACCCCCCGGGGGGATGGTCACGCCACAATCCCTTCTCCTTCATTCTCCTCTTGGGATCTTGGGCACGCACGCACACGCGCCCGGCGTGAGTTTTAAGCCACCGGGTCCGGGACACGAACCGCGGTCGACTACGTGGGAGTCCAGCAACATAGCCATTACGCTAACTGCTGGTTCCTCTGAATTCTACAACTTTTAAAGAAGAGCAAACTCCCATTCTACTCAAACTATTTCTAAAGATCCAAAAGGAAGGAACTCTCCCAAATTCATTTTAGCAAGCCTTATCCCCATCATTCTTATCCTCAGGACAAGGACATAACACACACACACACACACACACACACACACACACACACAACTACAGACCAATATCTCTAATGAAACTAGAAGTAAAAATTCTCAATACGATACTAGTAAATAGTATCTGATAACACATTAAAAGATTATACTTATGGAACCAGTGGATGGTGTAATGGTTACATCATAGGACTCCCACATGGCCAATCTCAGTTTAAGTCCTGGACCAGGCAGCTTAAAAGTCATGCCAGGTGCATGTGCATGCATGCACAGAATCCCAGAGAAGAATGCAGGAGCAGGGATTATGGCGTGGCCATCTCCTATGTGGTGTGATTTTTCACTTTCTGTCTCTCTGTCTCTCTCTATCTGGTGAGTGCACACACTTCCAGGGATGCAAGGATGGTTCAACATACACAAACACATAAACGTAATACACTATATTAACAGAAAGAAACATAATAACCTTATGATGATATCAATTGCTGTAGAAAAAGCATTTGATGGGGACCAGCAGATGACATAATGGTTATGTCGCTGGATTCCCATGTAGTAGACTGCAGTTCAAGTCCTGGACCTGGCAACTTAAAAAAACTCACTTGATAAAATACAACATCCTTTCATGATTAAGACTTTCAGCAAAACTGGCATAAAAGGGACACAATAAAAGCCAAATATGAAAAACCTATAGCAAACATCATACTGAATGGGGAAAAGCTGAAAGCTTTACCACTAAAAGCTACAGAAAGGTGAAACTGGGCGCCTAACTCTCACAATCAACAAAAATCAACTCCAGTGGATCAAAGATCTAAACATAAGGTCTCAAACTATAAAACTACTGGTGGATAATGCAGGGGAAATTCTGAGTGACATTGGAGTAGACAAAAACATCTTAAATAAGACCCTAAAAGCACAGGCAATAATTCCAAAAACAGACAAGTGAGATTACATCAGGTTAAAAACCTTCTGCTCAGCAAAAGAAACAATAGTTCGAGTGAACCAGCAACCCTTAGAATGAGAGAATATATCTGCAAATTATGCCTTAAACAAGGGATTGATAATCCAAATATACAAGGAATGCAAGTAGATTACAAAAAAAAAATCAATCCCATTAAAATATGGGCAAATGAGCTAAACAGACATCTAAGGAAGACATATGAAGAGCCAAAAATCATATGAAAAAATGCTCAACATCCCTTATCATAAGGGAGATACAAATCAAAACCACCATGAGATGCCACCTATATACCCAGTCAGAATGGCTAGCATTAAAAAACTAAAAATGATAAGTGCTGGCAAGGCTGTGGTGAAAGGGAACCCTCTTACACTGTTAATGGGACTATAAATT